GTCAGACCTTTTCCAAGGCAATGGCTCTCCTAGTGGACTTGAACTGTCAACCTTTTAGTTAGCACATTAACCATTAATTGTGCTTCCTGTTACTCTTGCCTGTTGAGATGTGCCCACTCCATGTGACGGAGCTAAACTACTAAAATATTAAAGGAAAGATGGTGTTATTAACTATTACACTTAAATAATTTCTGTAGATCCCAAAGAAAGTGTCAATAATATTAAAAAAGCTACTAAATATTACTATGTTACATTGGTATGGAGAAAAAAAAAATGAAACCTCAACTGTTGTTCTACTTCTCAGATCCCGTAGCCTAGGCAGCCTAGCTCAGCAGCGACACCTGGTGGTAACAACTGCAGAGTATTTTATATGAAAGTAGACCGCAGAAAGCAAGCAAAGGCATCCACGATATATAAAAATTCATCAGATTGATGAGTCTATATTGTTGGGAAGGGCACAGCATATGTAAGTGACAAGATGCTGTCCATGCAATTTAATTCCACGGGGACCAATGAGTTCTATTAAGATGGGCTCAAGAAAAGAAACCAAATATAAAGAACTAAACAACTCTAAGGGAGCTCTAATGTTATGGCTAACATTGAGAAGAATGGGAATCCCAGAACATTTAATTGTGCTCACGCAAAGCCTATTCCTAGACCAAGAAGTTGTGCGAACAGAGTAAGGGAACACAACATGGTTTAAAATTAGGAAAGGTATGTGTCAGTGTTGTATTCTTTCTCCATACCTATACAATCTGTATATTGAGCAAATTATTCCAGAAGTTGGACTCTATGAAGAAAAATGTTTTATCAGGATTGGAGGAAGAAATGTCAATAACCTTCGTCATGCAGATGACACAACTTTGCTGACAGTGAGGATAACTTGAAGCACTTGCTGCAGAAGATCCAACACTGCAGCCTTCAACAGAGGTTGCATCTCAACATCAGGAGAACAAAAATCCTCGCCTCTGGACCTATGGTCATCATATGATAGATGGAAAAAAGACTGAAACTGTCAACTTCACCTTACTTGGATTCACAATGAATACACTTGGTACCAGCAGTCAGAAGATCAACAGACATATTACACTAGGAAAGTCTGTAATCAAGGACCTCTCCAAATTACTCATGAGCAAGGATGTTAATTTGAGGACTACGGTGCACATAAATCAGACCATGATCTTTTGAATCATTTGCTGTCCTGAGGAGACCTAGATAATAAATAAGGATGACAGAAGAATTGATTCCTTTGAATTGTGGTTGTAGAGGAGAGTACTGAGTATCCCAGAGACTACCAAGAGAACAAAGAGATGTTTCAGAGAAAGTGTGGCCAGAGTGTTTCTTGGAGGAAAAGATGACAAAGCTTCATCTTGTAGACATTGGGCATGTTGCTACAGAGGATATTTCTTGGAGAAGGACATCATGCTTGGAAAGATGAAGTGATAGCAAAAGAAAGGAAGACCCTCAACCAGGTGGACTGACAGTGACTGCAGCAATGGATTCAAGTGTGAAAGAGATTGTGAGATTGGCACAGGATGGGACAGGGTTCAGATCTGTTATTCATAGGGACATTATGAATTGTACTCAACTTGACATCCCTTAACAGCAACAACAACAAGTGAGTAACAACAAGTTCTTAAGGAGCTGTACTGCTAACCTTAAAGGAAACCAGTTCAAATCGACCAGTAGGTCTGCAAGACAAAGGCAGGCAATCTCTCTGTGCAACTTACAGCCTCCCAAAACCCACTGGAGGGTCAGCTATGAGATCGTTCTGACTTGACATTCATGAGTTGTTTGTTGTTGAGAGGGCTTCTATGGGGAATCTTGTGATGGAGTCTGTAGGGAGCCGCACTGCTAATCCACAGGCAACAATCCTTCTAGCAGTTTCCAATTCAACAACCACTCCACAGCACAAACACTAGCAGTCTCCCCTCATGTGATTTTCTCAGCCTCTAAAAACCTACTGGAAAGTTATGAGTAAGTTCCAACTCAACAGCAAAGAAAAACAGAGCCAACTCTCTCCCCAGTCTCTGCCATTCATATCTCTAACTCTCAAGGCATTGAAGCAACACGTGAAAGAAGCGCTGATATGTCACAGCCCCAGCCTCAGATCAGAGCTGGAAGAATCTTTTCACCACTCAGTGAGGGTCCACATTCACCTTAACTTGAGCTATAACCCTTTATCAAATATCTGTCCCGGGAAGACAAGATCTAAGATCAGAATTATTCTATTTCCTCCTATAGAAGACATGTTGTTGTTTTTATATAACCATCGAGTTGGAACCGACCATAGCTCATCCTCCTGCAGGTTTTCAGAGACTGTTAATCACACGGTGCATTCGAGTTGCATGCCTTTGAGATTGCAGTGCAGCTTCTTGCCACTAGACCACCAGAGTTCCAGAAACCATAGGGTTGTAATAAAGAGTTATTAGTCATTAAGAAATTATATGAGGGAGGAAGAATTGAGGGCACAGAAAACAACCACTCATATACTAACTCAGCTTTTACAGTCTCAGAGTAAAACAGAATTAAGTCAAAGATTAGCAATAGAGGGAGAAAAAAAATAGTCCACAGCCTAGATATCCAAGAAAACTAATAAGACAAAAGGATAAGAAATGAACTTTGCAAAGACTTTCTTAAAGTGATCATGTCGCAAGGAGTCTGTCAAGCCTGAAGTGCATTTGGAGTGTTTCCCTGTGTGGACATAAAGAAACCACTACCCACTTGTCAATGCGTCAAACTACAGGAGCTTGTGTGTTACTATGACGCTGGAAGCTATGTCACCGGTATTACAAACACCAGGCAGTCATTCAGAACGGACAAGTTCCAGCAGAGTTGTCAGATATATAGGTTAGGAAGAAAGGCCTGGTAATCTACTGAAAATCAAATCAAGCTAGTAAAGCCTCTGTGGGTCACAAAAGAACTAGTGCTGTAAGGTGACCCGTGGGTCGGAAGGCATGGCACAAGAAACACACTGACTACAATACCAGTGATCGTGGAAATTAAGCAAGGTCAAGCAACGTTTCATCCTATTTTACATAAATTATAAACTGGAAGCAACTCAATGGTAACTAACAAGAGTAATCACCACCAGGCACTAAACCTACTGCTGTCAAGCTGATTCCAACTCAGAGACCCTAAAGGACACGACAGACCTGCCCCGTAGCGTTTCACAGCTATGGATTGTTAAAGAACAGGCGGTTAGCTCGTTTCCCTATAACACAACTAGAGGATGTCAACCTCCAACATTTTAGTGAGCAGTTGAGTGCTTCCTCACTGAACCACCAAGAGTCCTCAACAGGCACTGGTTAAGGATATAACGGACATCTGCATGCATAAGGTAAGCATATTTTACATATCAACTCATTGCTGCTATTGTGTACTGTCAAGTCAGAACTGATTCATAGCTGACCCTCCAGTGGGTTTTCAAAGGCAGCTAATCACATGGGAGGAGACTGCCCACCTTTCTCCCGAGGAACAGCATGTAGATTCAAGCCACGTTAGACCTTCCAAATACCTAATAAGAATAGCTGCACTACCATTTACATTCTAGAGCTTTCACAGGCATTACTTTATCCTCTCTTCAAAAAATCTAATGCTGTGTCCTAATCCTGAATACTCTCCATGTTTTTTTATACTTGCATTCTCTAAGGGAACACATCACACCACAATCACTCACGCTTCTGCTTTCCTCTGAAAACTAAGTGTGCTAAGGGGAAGCGGTCAGCCCCAAAGACAATGTCTCCTCTTAGAAAACTTGGGTTTGAGGATGTGATGAGTTTGTGCTCAGAGTCAGCTGGACTAAACTCACAAAGTTATCTGTTGAGAGAAACAACAGAAAAAGACTCAAAAAAGTGATTGATTTGTCCTAATTCTCAAAGATCTGGCAGCTGAGCAGAGCAGGAGAATTAGAGAGAAGACACAGCTGGGGAGCCGGGCAACCAGCCCACAGCCAAGTATCGCTCAGAGGCATCAAAGACAGACAAAAGGCCAGGAAAATGCCTGAAGAGAAACTCATCTCTCTGGGCGTCTTCCTCTTAGATGTGTATAAGACAGGAGCTCAACTCCAAAGCACCATCTGCCACCAGGTGGCACACATCAGCACAAAGAAAACACAGTTGTGATTCTCCCAACCCAGGACTTGCTGCTGTTGTTCTTGGTTGTCGCAGACTGGGACTGACTCATCGCTGACCTTTTAGCAGGCTTTCCGAGGTTGTAAACCACACTTCTCATCTTCCTCCTGCAGAGTAACAGGAGGATCTGAACCATCTGCCTTCAGGTTGGCAGTGTACCCTTACCGTTGGGCCACCAGAGCTCCCTAAGATTTACTGAGAAGGTCAAATCAAATTAAATGTTTTCAATGCCAACTCAACAAATTTTCATTTCTAAGTACATTCTTTATACATCAATAGTGACTCTTTGGCTTCTAAAATATAAAGAGCCCAAACCTTGGGGGATTTAACTTCAGACTCTGTAGGAGGCAGTGGTGGTTCGGTGGTAGAAGTCTCGCCTTCATGGGCACTGGGGTTCCACTTTCCATCAGTGCACCGCATGTGCAGACACCACCCATCTGTCAGCGGAGGCCTGCTTGCAGCTACAATGCTAAACAGGCTTCAGCAGGTTTTCCACGGAACATGAGGAAGAAAAGCCTGGCTATCAACCAATGAAATGAAAATGAACTGACGAAAACCCCCAAAACTGCAAAGGAGTGTTCCGCCATCAATCATGAGGATGGCACAGGACCAGAGGGTGCTGTATCCACTTGTACATGGGGGTGCTGTGAGTCAGAGCCTCGGTGAATGGCAGCCAACAACACACTCTTCACTCCCTCCCTTACAAACACCAAAAACATTAGCTACACTGAGGCATCTCTTTCAAGATGGCTTCCAAACCCAAAGTAAAAAACAGAAATGTATCAGCTGAAATGGAACAATTATGAAAAAGGGTCAACGTGTTTTAGATGCGCCAAGGGGCTTCTCCTCAGCTGAGACCACACTCACCTCAGCAGCTGGCAGTAAGTGGAGAGGCGTTAAGGTAGGAGCTTGTCTCATCCCACAGCTTATGCCAAGCGCACTCAGGATCTCCTCAAGGACTTCATATCTTCTGCAATTGCTTGATTTGAGCAAATCAAAATCTTCTTGAGTCTGTACAATCAGTGAGCTGGGAGGTAGTTCTAAGTGTACCTAAGGGAGAAAGAGACCACTTTGTAAAATGTTAACACTTAAAGACACTAAGGAAAATAGCACCTTGCTCAGATTTTCTGAAAATCTGAATACAAGTATTTGCAATCATCAATAGCATATATAAACTTTGAACCTAAATATGTGGAAACTAAGAAGCAATAAAAAGACTCAAAAGAGGTCCGAGTATGGCAGCCCTCGTGCGCAAGTGAGTACTCTAAAAGGCTCTAGTAATTTCAACAATGAAAGAGAATAAACTCCTGAAACTAGTAAGAAGTTGGCTTGAACTGAACAAAGAATACAAGCAACTCAGATATTTAAACAAGCACCTGTTAAAGCACTGAGGAGAAAATCTATTTGCTAACTGGTTACATGGAATACATGATCAAGCATTACGATAATAAAGACAAAGCAGAAAGCAAGAGATCACTTATTAACATAATTACTCCATTTCATGTAGAAGAAAGAGGTTGTCAGCTAACCTTAACAATGAATTATGTTTATAAAGAACTAGGAAAAAGAGGAGTGGTGGTAACATCTGCACTGGTCCATTCTACAATTAACAAACACTCCACGTCCTCCTCAGTTTCAGCAAGCAAGATTGTGTCATCTGCATAAGAAACCATCTACACTGACATCGAGAGTAGATGCTCCAGGGATTGTTTCCTCAGAAGCTATTAAAGAAAATAGACTGGAGAAGAGCGAATTGGGGGTGGCGAGGGAGGGTAGAGAGAAAAGTACAAAAATGAATGACTGGAAACCCTAAGTCTCTGTAAACTTTCATTAAAATTAAAAAAAAAAAAAAGACTCAAAAGAGTCTATTAAAATCTAACTGCTGGGCTGAAGGGTCAATGGTTACCAAATGAAACACCACCAAGCCAACTGCCCTCGGATATGGAACAGAAGTGCCCCATAGAGTTTCCAAGGCTGCAAATTTTACAGACGGAAACTCCCTTGTCATTTTCCGAGGGAGGCAGCTTCTGGGTTCGAACTGCCAAGCTTCTGGTTAACAGCTGAGAGCTTTGAACTACTGCATGACCTAGCTCCCTTCTCTGGAGTCAACAAGAAAAATCAATCACTGGGGAAAGGCATTTTTACCACAGTGTCAGTGAAAACCAGGCTGACACACTACCCGTAACACTGGGCTCAAGCAGGCCAAGGATCAGGAAGATGGTGCAGGACCACACAACCAGTTAGTCTGTTACACATAGCATCCCCATAAGTCAGAGCTGACAAAGATACTGGGTATAAATCATTACAAACTCTGTGTCCTGAATTTTATCATTAGTTACTATGGGAACCTGGATGTGTTATTGAACTTAGATGTTGTTGTTGTTGTGTACCATCAAATCAGAACCAACTCACAGCTGACCCTCTAGCGGGTTTTCAGACGCAGTAAATCACAGTGGGGGAGAACACTCATCCTTCTCCCACGGAGTAGCTGGTGGATTCAAACTATGTGCTGTTTGGTTGACAGCGCACCTCCTTACCACTAAGGCACCAGAGCTCCTAGGAACTCATTTATATAACCAAATATTAGGTTTTCTCCAAAATAATGTAGGATTAAAAAAAATTAAAAAAATAATGTAGGATTGTGTTTGCTTGATCTTTACACAATAATTTAATAACAAATGTTTTTATGAAATAGTAAATGTTATATATCACCTATTACACTTAATTTTTCTTTGCTGTTAGTTTTAAATATAAATTGTCTTTTTATTTCTATTTTTTAAGATATAAAATATAGGATGTCAAAACAAAGATTTTTGCCAAATCTACCTTTACAAATACAAATGAGCTGAGGTGCAGCACAAACAGCTCGAAAAGCTATGATGTTTCAAGTAAAGGGAATGTCAATGAGTGTATGGGGAACCATTGGTTTCAAAAATCCCACCTCAGTGAATCTGAACTCAAAGATCAGGAAGGTAGAGGTTAGTCATCAGAAGTGACAATAATCGAAGTGAATTCCCTCAAAACTACAGGAGAAACTGCAGAACTCAACATCCATCACGCTGTGGTCCCTTATCCTCTGGAGAAAATGGAAAAGATGAAGCAGCTCAACAAATGGGTGCCACATGAACTGAACGAAGATCAAAGCCTCCCTGAAGTCTGCTCGGAGACCCTTTTACATAATACAAATAATCCTGTTCTTAGTCACATTGTATTGTGTGATTAGAAATGGATTCCCTAATATAACCAGTGATACTCAGCCCAGTGATAGCTGGTGTGACGTGCAGAAACACAGCCCAAAACCAAGATTACTTTAAAAGAAGACCATGGTGACTCATGGTTTACAGCCAGATTAACCCTCAAGCCTTGAATCTAGCTGAAACCACTACAGCAAAGAAGGACTGCAACAAAATCGATGAAATACACTGAAATCGGCAATATCTGTGCCTGGCATTGGTCAATCAAAAACCGTCCAAACCCTCTGCAACGCCTGCCCACACGTCACACACCAAAAGCTCAACAAGCTGGACTAGAGATTCTGCCCCCACCAGCGCACTCGCCAGAGCCCTCACAGACAGACTACCACTTCTCCAAGCACTTCAGCAAGTTTTTGCAAAGAACCCTCTTCAACAACTAAGGTGCAATCAAAAATGCCTTCCTAGCATCTGTCAATTCCAGAACTCCGGAATTTAATGCTACCATGATAAACAAACTTGTATCTTGTTGGCAAAATGTGTAGATTGTAAAGGCTCTTATTCCTATGACTAAAGTTATGTTCAAGCAGAATTACAGAATATCTATGTCAAGGTTTAAAACCTGTATTATCTTTGCAATAACCTATTATTTAGAAATATTGTGCCGGAAGCTTGATTAAAGTCACACTAAACTCAAGGAGGTATAATGAGCTGCCACTCATGAAATTTCCATTCTGTTAAGTAACAGCATAACTACGCCCATCAAGTCAGCTCTGTTCAGGCTCCATCAAGTTCTGAGGCTATAAGTCTTTACAGCAGGAGACTGCTCATCTCTCTCCCTTGGAATCAACTGGTGTGTTACTTAGTGTTTAGTCAGAACTGACCCATAGCTGACCCTCCAGCGGATTTTCACAGACAGTAAATCGCACAGGAGTTGACTGCCTATCCTTCTCCCACAGGGCAGCTGGTGGATTTGAACAGCGTAACTCAGGTTGGCAGTGGAGCTCCTTACCACGAAGCCACGAGTGTTGGATTCAAATCCTTGATCTCTGATCCAGCAGCACAAAAACTAGGCAATATTTAGCAAGACAAGAGCTATATTCACCCTAGTATGTAAACAGTTGGAACGCAGCTTCATAAAGACCTGCTCCAATGACCTCTTTCATCTGAATGAAATTTAGCATTGAGAACTTCCAATATTTAACTCAAGGCTTTGTTCTCCAGTTGAGATTAGAATCTCCGCCAAACCATAAGGTGCAGATCAACACCTTGTGTCTCCCATGTGACAGATCTTACTAGAACTTTGAGCTCCCTTCAGATCAAATTTTCACTGGGTGCTACTGCTGAGATGACATGAGCAGACTGAATACCCAGAAGCATATTTCCTTTTGTTTTGTATTTTCTAGGATCCCCCATATGCTGAGTTTCCTCCCCAGTGTTACAGGAGAATTAGGAAAATAGGACGCACAGTGCAGACAATGAAAAAATATCTTGATTCCTACTCAAGCCTTCAGCAAGCCAAATATACTGGATTAGGTTCAAATGTTGAAGGTTGAGGCCAATCAGAAGGGTTAACTGAACACTGTCCATCCTTAAACTCTTGGCGGTCAGCTGAGATACTTGTGGCTTCATCCATGACTACATGTGTTAGTCAGAAGCAGCAGTTAGCAGGCTCTTAACAGCTCTGGAGAGTGAAGGAGGTGGGAAAGCAAAGCTCGTTAAGGGAAGCAAGGATGGGGAAACGCCATCTCACATACTTTGGGCATGTCTTTCCTTGGAGAAGGACATCTTGCTTGGAAAGGTGGAGGGTCAGCAAAAGAGAGGAAGACCTTGCAATATGGACTGACGTAGAGATTATGGTAATGGGCTCGAGTGTGTCAGGGATGGTGAAGATGGCACAGGAAGGGGAGGTTTCAGATGCACTATTCATAGGGCTGCTATGAGTTCTAGGTGACTCACTGGCACATAACAACAACATCAACATGTACTACTAGGTAGCGGAGTCATAGTGAATTTTGCTTCTAACCCGAAGGCAGTGCCTCTCTGATGGTTCAAATCTACAAGCTGCTCCATAGAGGAAAGATATTTATAAGTTTTGGAAACTCAATGGAAGGTCAGCTATGAGTTATTTCCAACTCCACGGCAACACTGAAAACTTTATTGCAGCATTACTTACAATAGCAAAGAGAATGGAAGCAGCCCAAGTGTACATCCACAAAAAAAAAAAAGGACAAAGAAACTGATGCATCCACACAGGAATACTACACAGCAGTGAAAAATAATGAATATGTAAAACACTACACAACATGGATGAGTCTGGAAGACATAATGCTGAATGAAATATCTGAGTCACAAAAGGACAAATACTGCATACTACTACTACTGCTGTCACAATAATAGGATGGCTAAGGCTAGGGGACCAGAAAATCTACTGCTGGAACAGATGGAGGGAAGGACAATGTGAAAGGAATGGACATTTAGATATTATATGTATGACAATGAACAATCTGGAACAGGACGAGCATTACAAAGTGAATTGGAGGGAGGAGAAATGTAAAAAACCCAAAATCTATGAAAACTTTTACTAAAATTCCAATATAAAAAAGGAAAAAATAAACAATTATGTTTTTTTAAAAAAACAAAACCATACACACACAACACAAAACTTCAAATTTAGAACTTCATGGGTGCAGTTCAGATACCTGTTGCTGTTGTTACCATCGAGTCGAGTATGCCTCATGAACTGGCTGACCCAAATCCTGTCCTATCCTGTACCATCCTCACCACCTCTGCCACACGTGAGCCCACTGGTGCAGTCACTGTTGTCAGTCCACTTCCTTGTGTCAGTCCATTTCCTTGAGGCCCTTCCTCTCTTTGGCTAGGTGATGCCAGTCAGTACACAAGGCTGTTAACCAAAAGGTTGGAGGAGTCTACTCATAAACCTCTCAGAAAAGTCCTGGTAATCTACTTCTGAAAAGAAAAAACAAAATCAGCCACTGGAAACCTTATGGAGCTAAGTCCTACACTGACAGACATAGATCACACATAAAGCCACTTTCTACTGCACATTCTTACCCTATCTGTGTGTGCCTCTCAAGTGGACAAGGTCGGTGCCTGGACAGTCAGCACAGCAGTGGAGATATGTACGTCACACAGGTAGCACAGCTGGCCTGACGATTAACCCATGCAGGTGGCAGAAATAAAAAGAGTCCCAGGGAGAGGGGGATACATGATTGAAAGCACATGTACTGGTGGAACTTGGTGGACACACAGAATAGTCAAGAAACACACACAGGGAGATGAATGAAAACGATATTCACATGGGAAAGGGGCCTACGGGGAAGATGAATGATTGGCCTACAAGCAGGTCTCAGGAGTTCCAGGAGAAAGGATGACCATTAACACTGAGAAAATGCTTTCTGCTTGCTGTCTTTCACCTTCAGAAATAGCAAGAGAGGCCACTGCTGGGAGGCACTCTCAATTAGCTGGGACAGAATAGCACACTGGGGTGTTAGACTTGTTTTCTGTGCTCTGGACTCCCCAGCATCTGGCATAAGGCTCATCTTCCTGGTTGTGATGCTGTTACAATAGAATTAGAACTTGGCTTCTTCTAAAAACAAGACTTTTAACTGGACCAAAAAATTAATGCTCAAAGAATGCTGTAAAATAAGGACTCTAAACTGGGGGCCAGTACTGCAGCATCTGACAACGTCTGGAGATTTCTGGGGGCACAGTCACTATTGGAATCTGGTGAGTACAGGCCAGGGGTCCACTCAATGGCCAGGATAGAGCCTATCCCCTCCAGAGCAGCTCAGTTCCCACAGCTGAGCATGATCTGGCTGTAAATACAGAATTACCACTGCCACAGGACGATCTAAACAAGAAAACACTTTCTGTTCTAATCAGTTCTTCATTTGGACAAGTTCAAACTAAAACCCCTGTTCATTGGATATTTCTACAGCAGCATTCAACTGCTCCCTTACATTTTCCCTGAAGACTAGATCAGCTCAGGAAGTACAGACATTTCCTCTTTCTCTTCATTATTACCAATGGCAAAGCCATGAAATACAAACTACCCAGGCCAGCTACGTCATCAGCTACTACACAGCTGTGGTTTGCCCCTGAAGCTCTCCACCTCCTCTTACTGGGTTACATCACTGCTAGATTGATTACAAAGGTGAAGACTATGAAATTGAATGAGGAAAGAGGAAGCTAACCAGCCTCTGGTAATACCTATCGGTTCATCTCCCCATGGTGCAATTGTGACACAGCAAGCCCGTCATACAGAGACTGGAAGTCACTGAAAATCAGAAATGACACTCTAATCCCCTGAATCTGATTTTTGAAGCTGCATCATATTGCCCCTTTTTTGCCTAAGGAAATACACTGAGGTATCAAATTTTATGACAGTAAAAGGGTCAATTTAAATGGTGCAAAAAAGCAGATTTTCTATGTAACTTGGAGAAACGGATTGCAACAGTGCCGAATCAATTTTCTAGTACAAATCTGTACACAGGGGTGGTAAAATGCACTACTCAAACCTGAAATATGGCTTGAGGAAGTCTGGGTTTTGAGTGGATTTTCAGAGAACGCACAGTTACTATAGTTACCATATCTGCTGAGGTAAAGATAAGAGGTTCATTTTTATGAGGCCACCAAACCTAATTCATGTGGCTTGCGGCCCTACAGAAACCCTGCCTGCAGTGCACATGAATGTCTGTCCTGGAGTCCAGATTTCTTCATTTCAACTCTCTTACTTGAATTTTTTAGAACAAGACCATGCACTTTAGAATAGCAAAAATCACACCCTTTGAAGGACAGCTGATCAGAAGTCCAGGATACTTAGCTTCCAGAAGTTCTGGAAGGAAACAGTATACACAATTTTTTTTAAAAGGAAAACAAACAGCCGCATAATCTCCCAAATGCCTATGGTAGGGAGGGGGGATCAGCAGAAAAGTCAGAAAAAACGAAAGAACCTCCCAAGAGTGGAAAGGAAGCCCTATTTTTCTTTCCTCCTCCTTTTCCCCATCCTTGTCTTACCTGTTTAATCATGTTTGTATCTAAATAACTTCTTAGTTCTCTCCACTGAAAACATTCTCAACATTTCTTTATTTTTATTTATTTATAAATGTAGTTATGTATGCACACACAAAAACAAAACAAGGCATATATTTTAGGCTAGACACAAGTTAAAAAACTAAACAGCAAAAGAATAAGCCGCTGGCCTGAGGCAAGACCACGTGTGTGGGAGAACACCACAGGGTTTCCCATGCTGTTCTGGAAGAAAATCACCAGGCTTTTCTCTCCAGGGAACTCAAAGACCTTGCAAATGGTACTAAGGCCACCTTCAACACCAAGGATGGCACTCAGATCTTCAGGGGCACAAATCCTAAGAAAGACATTAGGAATTTGAAGATGCTACCACTAACATCCTATTAACATCCTATCTCAACAGTGGGTCAGTCCATTCCTTGAAAACAATTCCAGTATTTTAAGGTGTCCTTCACTGATACTTAGAATCATGATGCTGAAGCATCCAACTTCCTGCATTAAATACTCGATCATATCATGAGGCTAGACTGGAGACAGGGAAGGAGATGCATGCATTTCAGAAAGGTTATTGCCAATAAAGTACAAAACAAAAGAGTTTTCTGCCTGATCCTTGGTTATTCAAAAGTTAACTACACCATCTCCTCTGTTGGTTTAACATTCTGTGATGGCCTACACATTACTCTGATGTTGGAAACTATGACACTGGAATGTCAAATGCCAGCAGAGCCATCCATAGGGGACAGGTTTCAGTTAAATGTCTGATTGACTATGCAGAAAGGCACGGCAATCTAATTCTGAAAAGTGACCAATAAAAACCGTAGTGAACACAACAGAGCACTGACTCGCTGGTTCTGGGCTCATCATCAGGAGGGACTGGTCATTAAGGGACATCACATGTGGTGAACTGGAGGAACAGCGAGGGACAAGGAGTCCTTTGGTCACATGGACTGACATGCCAGCCACCCAGACTCGAGCTTTCTAGTGAGTGTGAGAATGATGCAGGGCTGGATAACATTTTATTCCATTGTACATCACATCACCAAGAGTCAGAACGAGCTCTCTACAGCAGCTAACAACATCACCCCTCGCAAAAAAATCACCCTTCCTGCTTCCTCCTTCCACCACAGGCTTTTTGGTTAATGAGGGCGTTCAGGCTACACAAAAGCCTGAACTACACTTTCTCCTCATCAGTAAAAAGCCCCAGCCAACAGTCAGTAGTCATCCACAGCCTACAGACACTTGACACTCTTCAACCTACTGCTTTAAAGAGCCTTCTCTTTCTCAAAGATACATCTGGAAATTTCACCCTGGAGACCCTTATATCAATGTTAGTCCCGGTACCTGGCAAAGAACAGCTTCTCCTCCACGTGTTCCAAAAGGCACTTGCACGATCATCCTGTCCTTGTCCTCGTTGTCCAGATGGCCCTGGAGCCTGCCCGAGCTGGGCTGCGCCCCGGGAGCCTCCTCATAGATGCACCCGCTGCTCAGGACACTGAGCTTCACTTCTGTCTGGTCAGCCTTGGAGAAAACCAGGTTCTGAACTGTCTTCAGTGCTGCCCCCTTGCGTGTTACTTGGAAGCCACCAAATGAGAAGGATGAAGACAAGCTTAGCACCTTCCCTCCCTGAGAAAGATAGGCCATGACCTTCTGGTGTAAGACTTGAGCAATGGGCTCCCTGGTGGCGATGACCAACAGCACGCAGTTGTCTGACCACGGGTCTTGGAGGGCACTGTCCTCCAGCAGCTGGTAGACAGTGTAACAGTCGGAGTCCACACAGTCGGCCAGAACGGCACGGGCCTGCTGGCATCTGCTGAGAGATTCTGTGGAATCTGGGCCCACATAGACCAGAATGTTGGGGGTCTTGCCTGCGATGCTGACTCTCCTCCCTTCTCTTTCAGGGCAAGTCTCATCAGCAACACTCTCCAAACTGCTGCTGTAATCATAAGGAAGATCTGGAATGTTCTCGGCTGATGCGAACTTGACAGACTCGATGGTGCTGTTCTCAAGTTCCAAACACTCATGGCAGCTGGACAGATGGAGGTGATGATGCTCAACAGAGCCTGCCCCTCGGTCACTCTCCTCAGCAGGCCCTCTCCCGGTGGCACTGCCTTGGCTCTGCTTGGCCTCTTCCCCGAGAACCTCAGGGACCTCTTTGCCAACACGTGCCATCGTGTCCTGGTCAGGCTGAATCTCTACAGAAGAGTCAGGGTTCGGCTGTATGAGCTCGTCTTGCTTCACTGAGGCCTGGTCCTTAAGTTCCTTCAGAGTGGATTCCTGCAAGTGCACAGCTAAAGCAAAACCAGGGAAGACAGCTGGTCAGCACTCCTTGTCTATCACACGGCCCAGTTCAAGAACTTAACTGTGCCCATCAGGCACTCCACGACTTATATACAGCCCAACCACCCCGCTCCCCCTCATTTCCCCCCAGCTCGGCAGCAACATCCTTATTATCCACATAGTTGCTCCCACATGCTAGGAGGGTGCACGTGAAGACCCCAAATGAAATCCAAAGTTCCTCTACAAGTCAGAGAACCCACAAATCTCCCTTTCCATTGCCTTTACTGACGTGTAAATTTTTCAATGTATGTAATTTTTATTGACTGAGATTCAGAGAGATGGCACTGGCCACTTGTTCACCATGCAGGGTGTTAACCATCCTCTACTGTGGTGCCTACTAAGGAGTCCCTGAGGGCCACAAATAGGCAAATGGCCAACTAGTGACCAAAAGGTGGTTCATATCCACTCAGAGGTTGAGTATACTTCCAAAAAAATCAGCCACTGAAAACCCTATGAGTGCAATTCGACTCTGACTCACAAGGAGTAGCCAGGAAGTAGAATCACTTCAATGGCAAGTAGAATTGATTTGCATTTCAGTGTGTTCTTCCTTCTTGAATCTCCCTTCAGTAAAACAAAAACATGGAAAGGTCATCTATCTAGGGTATATCCCCAGGAAAAAGACACTCCTGGGACACTTCCTAGGATCAACTAGAGAGAGACAGATCTTTCAGGACTGGATTATGAGTTTATAATCACTGATACAAAAAAACAACACTGAACGAACACTTGCTATGTATTAGACATGGTATGTGGCCAAGTACACACTGCAAATTAAGTGATTTACAAAAATGTATATAGCTCTGGTAGCAAAGCCCATAGGGAGGTGCCCTGTACCCAAAGGCCACACCTCTTTGGCTATTTGAATCCACCAGAATCTCCTCAGGACAAAGATGGGCGGTCTCCTTCCACACAATTTGCAGGAATCCACTGGAGGTGCTGCTGTGAGTTGGTTCCAACTCCACAGTCATGAACGAGAGAATGAAGCTGCTAAATAATACTCATTTGTTCCCGATAAAAATACAGACTTTCACAGATATATAAAGCCTGCTTTTAAACATAATTAATGAAGAATATTTTCTGTTTCCCAAAACAGTTTGTTCCAAAGAGTTATGAGTAGTTTCAGTAAAAAGCTATGTAATCTAGAACTTCAGAATAAGAATGGGTGTGCTTTAGCAGAGTTCATCACAATCGCAAGGACATGGAAATAGCCACAATTGAATGGATTGAGAAACTGTGGTATATTCACACAATGGAATACTGCACAACACTCAGGAGCAACGACTTAAAAAGTACTACATAACTTAAGAAAGACTCAAGAGCATTATGCTGAGTGAACTAACTCAGTCTCATGAGGACAAATTCTCCATAAGAGCATTATTGTAGAAATAAAAGGATAACTAGTAAAATGTGCATGAGGATCCAAAGACTGTTAGGGAGGATCAGAGGGGTAAATATGGGCGGGGGAGGAATCATAGGGTCGTACAATCTGGTGAGTGGAGGGAGAGGGGTAAAGGGAATGGGAAAGACCTGGCAAGGACCTGGAAAGCCAGGGTAGTGGTGGGCATAGTTCAATGGTGATTAATTTTATAAATCATAATGAATGATACACTACTATGGTAACGTCAAATCAAGAGACAACATTAGGATGAAAATAAGCATTGTCTTAAAACAACTATGAGATATCATTTCACCCCAGTCAAAATAGCAAAATTTAACAGAACAGCAAGCAACAAATGCTGGCAAGGTTGTGGAGAAACTGGAACCCTGATTCACTGTTGGTGGGAGTGTAAAATGGTGCAACCCCTGTGAAAAGCAGTATG